AAGAGTAGGAGTAGCAGTAGGAGTAGGGCAGTAGGGTTTAGAGCAGCAGCAGCGCCCGCAGGGTTAGGGTACGGGTAGGAGGGAGGAGTAGCAGGAGGGGTAGGGGTGGGAGTTCGTGGAGTTGAGTAGTAGGAGGGTCAGGACAAGCAGCAGAAGTAGCATCAGTAGGGGCAGTAGGAGTAGTAGGAGTAGGGGGAGTAGGAGTAGTAGTAGCTGTCATCGTCGTCGTCCTCGTGGTAAACGTCGTCGTCTCGTCGTGGTTGTCGTCGTTTCGTCAGCTTCGGTGTCGGCGTCAGCTTCGGCATTTACCGTCGTCGTCGTCCTCGTCCGGGTGGTCGGGGTGGTGTTTCTTACGAATTGTGCATAGGGCTGCTGGAAATTTATGGTGTGTGTGTGTGTTATTTATGGTTCAAGGATTGGGATGCTTTTGCCACTGCCGTGTGTGCGCGTAAAGAGGTTTGGCAAGGCACCTCTTATTGCTCGGCTGTAGCAGAAGATGTGGTTGGACGCTTAGGCACTGTCAGCTTCTATGACACACTTTCTGAATTTGTTTAGAGGTGGCAGCTGTCAAGACAGCCCTGGAGATGGCTGATTGATGTGTGCACTTCGACAGTTGCAGTTCGCACTCGTACGACGCCTCCCAGTAAGAGCCCGCAGCAAGGGCTATAGGGTGATGCAGGTTGAACGATAGAAGCAAGCGGATGACAGTTGAAGTCCAGCACTGCACTGACACCCCGCAATGGGTCCGGCGTTCTGCGTTCGTCCATGGAATCCTTGGAGGAGGTGCTCCGATCCGGTTTTTTAGGAACTGGGGTATTGGAGGCGCCTGAATAATTTCTCATCTGTTTCTTAGATTTCCCAATATAGTTCCACTGTAATTTACCTGATTTTCATCCTTATAAGGCCCTTGCACTACCGTATTTAAGGTCATTGTTGTAAGGCATTCGAGTCCCAGATGACTAACAAAGCATGTGACATGAGCCGTAGTGGCAAAATTAAAAGTGGCTGGCAAGGCATGCAATGGTAGTTATGTATACTTACTAGTCATGCTAAACGTCTCAACAAGATTGGTAACCCACATCATTGTCAAGAATACCAGGCATTGGCAATACTACTTGCATCACAGCTCCATCACCCAACAGAAGGCTATAGAACTCAGCTGTGGGATACCGGCCTCAACCCAGAAAAGGCTGCAAGACCCGTTTTTGAACTCTCAGAAACTCGTGAAAAGCTCCGCAGAACTCTCTCTTTAAAGCTCGGGCTGGGCCTCGGCCTTTGCCGGGAGCGCAAAGGGGTGCGAGCCCCGGGGAGTGAAAGGAGCGGTGCTGATATCGGTGTGTTTATGAAGGCGCTTTTTCGGATTTCGTAGGGCTTGACAAGGGTTTTGTGCGTGCTTCATGGTACAATTGTGCCTCAGGGTTCAGAAATGCAGTCACGGCCCGCAAAACCCTTAGTCTGATTATACCAATACTCGTTTCTGGGACGATCCGGGGACTTGGCAAGAAAGGATGCTAAGTAGGGCAACCATAGTTGTAGTTGCTTATAATATAACTCCAACCAATGTTTTTTTTTTTACATATTTCTGATTTCAATGTCCTCTGATGTACCCAAAGTATTCCCAACCGTGTTTTCTACGAGTCATTAGCCCCGTCGGTGCAGTGCAGTTAGCCTGGCCCATCCAGCCGAGCACGGTTCAGGCCTTGTGTGCACAGCAGACAGTGTGGTACGCAGCTGTTGCTGCCATGAGAAGTCCTCCAGCTTGGTGGTGTTCACTCACGGTGATGACAGCTGCGATCTTGCTGACGGTGCTGAAGATGACTGGTCAGAATGCATGGATTCCCCGCAAAGCTGCAGCTGCTTCGAGTGGTTTGGTTGGGATGCTAAAACCGCGAAAGTTGACCACGAAGACTTGAAGCAAGGCTACAGGCGATTTGCGAAGAAGGCTCACCCGGACAAGCACCCAGACTCCCCAGCAATGTGGGAAGCAGTGACTGCATTCGGGAACGCATGCAAAGAGTTTCTGTGGGATGACTCCAACCTGGCAATGTATGCTCGGAAACTCCGAACCCAAAATGCTCTCGCAGAGAGGAAGGGGTGGTCTCTTGAGCGCAGGAGGGAGCGTATCGAAGAGTTTCACGAAGAGCTGGGCTTGGGTTCTGGGCGCGATCCGCCTTTGAGACCTCGTTTCGCGAAAAGGGAGTCGCCATCGGAGAAGGTGCATGTATTCCTGGATGACTCGCCGTCCATGCATGGAGCGAAGCTCGTAGATGCCAAGGAGGTCATGGAGAAGATCATGCCCCGCCTCGAGAGAACGCCCACCTCTGTCCACCTCATTGGCCCTCGGACAGCTTCCAGGCAGATCTCTTCGCAGAGGTCGACGACTTCCTCTTCGAAGACGTGTCTGACCAATGGCAGGCACCACTAAAACCTCCTTCGAGCGATCTTCTTTTTGTCATGGACATCACCGGTTCGATGCACAGTGCCATTCATGCATGCCGCGACAAGGTGATCGAAATTGCTGACAGCCTGCATGCCCATTTTGATTTGCTGCGCATCGGGTTCCTCGGGTATCGTGACATGGTAGATACCGAGCAATTCTCCTTGCACAGCTTCACCACGGATCCATCTCGGCTTCGCAATCACCTGGCAAAGGTTAAAGCTGATGGCGGAGGTGATTCTCCTGAGGACGTCATCGGGGATCTGGAAAGAGCACTCAGTTTTGACTGGCGCTCATCGCATCGTTTGTTGCTTCACATCGCAGATGCCCCTGGCCATCCTCCTGTGCAGGGCAAAGAAAAATGCTGCATCGATTTTCAAAGACATGGTGTCCAAACAGATTCAGTACGCCCTCTTAGCTGTTGGCGACAGTGTTCAGCATATGTCGGATGAATTTGCGGAACATGTTGAAGCAGCAGGGTCGCGGTTGCCTATGCGCAGCATGTTGGTAGATAGTTGCACACCGGATGTGTTCAAAGACCGTGTCATGGATGCAGCAATGGATGCTACACCGTATGGTAGCTTCACATACCTTTGGCAGTACGTTTTCTTCGCTATCAAAGCGAAGCCGGGTCGTGACCAGGAGGTCATCATCGTCACGGATGGTATCGACAATGACTCCGATGAGGCTTTCCGTGGAACCAACGGCTTCAACTACATGATGGAGTTGTTGACAGGTTTGGGCATCAGCATCCCTCGCATGATCATCTATTGCATCGGCAACGAGGATTGCGTCAAGGCACGCTACCAGGAGTTGGCGATGGCCTCAGGGGGTGATTGCTTCTATGGCAAAGGAGCCAAAGATGCGTTCGTTGCTCATGCGCTCCTGACGCATGCTGAACGCCAGGCGAAGGCCAAGGCTCAGAAGCAGCAGTATGCGGCGATCACCAGCGAAGGCGATAGGTTCTCGTGGTTCCTGCCGGTTCCAGTGGAACCTGAGTCGGCACAAATTAAGCCATCGGCTTCCTGCAATCGCGGAGCTCACGGAGCTAGGGTTTGCAGTCGCTGAGTCTGCCAGAAGCAGCGAGACCAGCTGTTTGGTCAATCCTCTTTCCTTTAAAATTTCAGCATGCCTGCGGACTCCGACCACACAACGACGGCCACTTGTGAGGCGGAGGGACAGCAGCGATGGACGTGCAACCGTATGAAAAGTATGGTGCGTCACTTCTGCTAGCATGGATCTCGGTGCTGTGAAGTTGACCTGAAACCGTTAAACCCAGGACCTTGCCAGAAACCTGCTGCACAGGTCGAACCGCGGCAGACTGCACTGAGCCATCCGAAGAAGATGGTCTCCAGTCACTGCGAGGCGAAAAGTAGCTGGGGTCCAATCACACGGATCTCAAGCAAATAATCTGGTAAACTCTGCAGCAGATTCGGTTCTGGACACAGTCGGGACAGTCGTAATCTTCGCGAAGGTACCCGGACTGTCCATCATGAGCGTAGACAGCACTGACTGCTTGGTATGCTTTCCCGACTTGTGCTGCTGCTGTCCGTCAACTTTCGGATTTGGCTTGCACGGTCTGATGCAAGTCAGCAGCAGCCGGAACCCTCAACAAAACAAGCCTTACACCCAAAATGCTAAGCTTGTAGACATAAGACCGTGACATACACCAGCAGCCACCTGTGGATCATACCGTCCTAAAGCAGCATCAGTCCACCCGTTGCCCACAGTTTCTCATGTTGCGATGGAGATAGCTTCGTGCATTTTTTGGGCAGCATGAGCCTCTAGATCTCGAAGCAGTTACTTTCGTAGCTGAGGTGGTCTAGGGATTTCGGATGATTTAGGAATGTGTTGGTTGAGGCATAATACATGTACCGCAAGCCCAGAAGCTCGTGGACACGACCTGAGCGGCCCCTGCAATGGGTGCCGGCTTTCGTGTTCGTCTCCCATGGAATCCTTGGAGGAGCAGCTTCGTCGGCAAGAACTGACTCAGTGGGTTATTATAACAAGAACATAGTCTCTATGTACTTGTAATGTCGGGGTTGTAATTCAATCCTCCGCCCCCGATGGAGGTTATTTGTCCAGGGTCTTTTGGGGCGGTCGCTGGGTTGGGGTTTGCAATAGTAAACCTCTGGCCGAGTCCAGGATATGTAGTAATAGTAGTAACAGCAATAGTAGCACTAGTATAAAAGTAGTGAAAGTAGTAGTAGTAATTAGTGGCCTGGCTTCATGCCAAAGTAAATAGCCTTCTGAAGAAAGCCTTGCCTCCAGGCCCCCCTTCCCGCGGAAGTATTTGATTGTCACCCATTTCTTGTTGCGATCAGAAGGGCTCGTAAGGGATACCGTTGCTGGCTTTGTGAAATGGCTCCGTTTATAAGGGATTCGAATCAGGCAGAGGCATTAACAACAGCTGTTGCAGTTCCTGGAATCCAGAGTCCATGGCTTCATGCCAAAGCCTGCAACTCTCGAATACTGAAACCTCTGGCTTGACGCCCATTAGCTCTTGCTTTTTGAGCAGCACTGTGAAGAAAGCCTTGCTTCCAGGACCCCCTGCCCCGCGGAAGTATTTGATTTTCACCCATTTCTTATTGCGATCAGCAGGGCTCGTAAGAGATACCGTTGCCGGCTGAAGCTCTCGAATACCAAAAGGATTTGCTCTGCTTCCCTTAGGGTGCAGTGAAAAGTCTCTGGAACTGCACTTTGCGAGCTGGTAGTTCAGTGAGATGTCTGAGGAATTGCCCTCTTCCAGCTGGGCTTGGTTAGGGTCTAGGCATCTCTTTCCTTTTCTCCAAAATAATAAGCCTTCCCTCAAAAATAATAAGCTTTTCCTCAAGCCAGGCCCTAAATTTTTTAGGGTTTTCGGCCCCGATTTTTTTTTTCATTGTCACCGCTGTATAAATATCGCCCGGTCCCAACATCAATTGTTTGGCTGGATCTGGTCAGATCTGGGTGCGCAATCTAAACTAGTCTTTCGCCGGGAAAATCTGGGCCAGGGAATAGTTTATATAATTGTCACCCTGTTCATTAGTGTCACCCCTACATTATGATTTTATCTCCCAGCGCCACATTCCAGTGTTAAGAGATAAAGGTTCAGGGTTTAGGTTTTGGTGCAAGAGCCCAGCAACGGCATTCAAACACTTTGCACTTTGATAGGGCACGTGGAGCCAGTTTCAGTGTTACTTTTGACGGTCTCTTGTCTGTTGCCGTTGTGAACCTTGCCGAAAGCAGCATGCTTAGAAGAACTCTAAACTGCCTTATTCCCGAAACCTTAACGGAAGTAAGATTCTTCAGAGTCCAAGACGACGATGCCAGGAATCAGCACTCGTGCCTGGAAGGTTCCATGTACAGCTTCTTGTAACTGGGTTTCCCTTGTATTTCTTGGTGGTTTCATTCTAGAGACCCGATTATATTCCTCATTAGCAGAGGAGGAATTATTTATTCAACTTTTTCTACATGACTTTTTATTTTATTTCACACGGCCCATCGGACTCAAATGTAGAACTGCGCTTGAATCCCGTAAACTGCTAAACCCATAAATTATCAACCCCGAAGCCCCAAACCCGTCTTCAAGAAAAGAGCCGTGGGATGTGGAGCCGCAGCGCCCAGGTTTGACCTGGCGCGGGAGCTGAACTTCAGGTACCATTTCCGTTTGCTTTAGGGTTTGGAATGTTTGGGGTGTTACCCTGTTGTTGCACTTCCCGTCAGCATTCGTACAGTGAGGTTTGTTGCGATGTGACACTGGTCGCATATTTGTATTGCACAGCGAGATTTACTATCGCTGTGCCGCCAACCGCAACTCTTCTTTCCCTGCTCCTACCAGTCCTTTTGCTGCCACTGCTTTTGCTTCTGATGCTACCGATGCACCCACCACTAATTCACTAATACAGCTACTACTGCTACTACTGCTGCAACTATTCGAATACTGCTACTGCTCCTGCTACTGCTACTCTTCTGCGACTCCTCCTCCTCCTCCTCCTGGTGCTATTACTGCTGCTGCTGGTGCTGCTGCT